CAGTGCTGGGGACACCCAGGTCACCCTGGTGATTCTGGGACCTCCAGGACTGCATTTGGCGATGCTCTGGGGACTGTGTGGTGCTGGAGTCAAACCTGGGTGGGGACTATACTAGGCATGAGCCCTAACTGCTGTACTATCTCCCAGCCCTACCTGACCACGCTGAAGTGTGTCAGTACTACAAAGTATTTCCTGTTGAGTGCCATCCTTCCAAGTGCTCTGTCAATTAAACCCATGTGAGAATTATGAGCTAATTTAAAGGTTTCTAGCTTAAAATAAGGAAAATAGGGCCAGGTAGATAGTTCAATACACTAAGTGCATGCTTTGCGTGCTAGAGTCCTAGGTTTATTTCTTCTATCACATGGTCCTCTGAGCATCAATGGGAGCAACCTCTTAGCACTGAGTAAGTAGTAGCCTCACTGAGTGTAGTAAAAAAAATAAGAAAAACAAAGCTCTTAGAAACTGAATGATATACATAAGGTCACAAACTCACCTTATAGGACAAGTTCAGGATAAATTTTACAGGATAAATCTTATCTTTCCTTTACTGCCATCTATCAGCCTCATAAACAGGACCTGTTATTTTGTGGTTCTTTTTTTGCCACACCCACGTGTGTTTACCTTTGTCTGGCTTTGTGCTCAGGAGTCACTTCTGGCAGTGCTCAGGGGACCATATTGGATGATGGGGATCAAACTCGAGTCGGTCATAAGCAAGATAATGCCTACCTGTTGTTCTGTCTCTCTGGCACCCTAAACAGGACACATTGGATAGTTCACCTTGAGGAACAAGGGAGAGAGAAGCATCAAGGATACTCTCAGGTTTCTGAGTTGGTAAGAGGTGGATAATAGTGCCATTCACCAAATCTGAGAACACAGGTCACTAATCCCAAATGCAAGTTTACTTTAGCTGGGCATAAGCAAATATTAAATCAGAGGTTTCCTCTCCTAGTTCACTTCTTTATCCCTAGTTCAAATCAGACTTCTCTCTCAGCTTCTTAGTGACGAAGAGATGCTTCCCCAAAGAGAGAAGAATGCTAATTAGTTCTGAAAATGCTAATAGCTCATTTATGCACTTCCAGAGGGAATTTAAAAAGAATAATATAGTTGTCAAGTGACTGAATTAATTAGTTCAACAAATATTGATTTCCCTACCATGAGCCAGGTATGTTCTAAGCTCTTGGTTCTCAAAGTGTGAGGAAAGCAACATTAGCAGCATTAGCACCACCTGGGAACTTGTTAGAAATGCAAATTCCTGGGCTTCACATCAGATATATTGAGTCTAAAACTCTAAGAGTGGGATCCAACAATCTGCTTTAACCAGCCCTTCAGATCATTCTGATGTATGCTCAGGTTTGAGAGCAACTTTTCTAGATAGCAAGGATATGGTGTTCAAGACAACTGGTTGCTTATCCTCTTGGGATAATAATATCCAAGACGAATTTTAAAAATTACATTTTGGGGGGCCATGCAATAATACAGTGGGTAGGGTGTTAGCTTTGCAAGTGGTCGACCCTGGTTCGATCCCCGTCACCCCATATGGTTCCCTGAGTACTTCCAGGAGTAATTCCTGAGTGCAGAGCTAGTAGTAACCCCTGAGACTTGCTGGGTGTGACACACACAAAAAAGAAAATTACATCTTGGGAGCCAGAGTGATAGTACAGCAGGTAGGTCATTTGCCTTGCATGCAACTGACCTAAGTTCAATCACCTACATCCCATATGGTCCTCCAAGCACTGCCAGGAGTAGTTCCTGAGTGCAGATCCAGGAGTAACCCCTGAGCATTGTCAGGTGTGGCCCAAAACAAACAAAAATAACATTTTAGGCGGTGGGGATATAGGTCAGAGATAAAATGCATTCCTTGCATAGATGATACCTTGTGTTGTATCCTCAGAACCTCCCCAAACCAAAAGAATAGCATTTCAGGGTGACCCTAGGGGTCCTCAAGCACTGCTAGGAGTAGGCTCTATTTCAAGAAAATAACATTCAGGCTGGAAACACACTACAGTGGGTATGGAGCTTACCTTGCTTGCAGGGTTTGGTCCCTGGCACCATATACGGTCCTCTGGTCCTGCAAGGAGTTATCTGAGTGCAGAACGTGGAGTCAACCCCGTGCCCATCTGGGTGTGGCCCCAAACCAAAACAATAATAAATGAATAATGTTTCATATGGATGATTCTCAAAAAATTAGAATTTGATCTGCCATTTGACCCAGCTATAGCACTCCTGGGAATATATCCCAGAGAGGCAAAAAGGTATAGTCGAAGTGACATCTGCAATTGTTTGTTCATTGCAGCACTCTTTACAATAGCCAGAATCTGGAAAAAACCTGAGTGCCCAAGAACAGAAGACTGGTTAAAGAAACTTTTTACACAATGGAGTACTATGTAGCTGTTAGAAAAGATGAAGTCATGAAATTTACATACAAGTGGTACTACATGGAAAGTATCATGTTAAGCGAAATGAGTCAGAAAAAGCGGGATAGACACAGAAAGATTGCATTCATCTGGGGAACATAAAGCAACAAAACGGGAGACTAACACCCAGGAATGGCTGAGATTAGTACCAGGAATTTTGCTCCATGACTTGAAGGCCAGCCACACGTGCTAGGTGAAAAGGAAGCTCAGATAGAGAAGAGAGCACCAAATAAAGGGAGTTGTGAGGACCCTCCCAGGATGGGAGAGGCATGCTAAAAGTAGTCTATAGACCAAACATGATTGCCACTCAATGCCTCTCTTGCAAAACACAGTACCCAAAAGAAGATAGAGAGAACAAGGGGGAATGCCCTGCCACAGAGGCAGGGTGGGACCGGGGGGATGGGGGGTGGGAGGGACGCTGGGACCCGTGGTGGTGGAGGATGGGCACTGGTGGAGGGATGGGTACTTGATCATTGTATAACTGAAACCCAAGCACAAAAATTTATAAGTCTATAACTGTACCTCATGGTGTTTCACTAATAAAAAAATTTTTTTAAAAACGAATAAAACAATAAATAATGTTTCATGAAAAAGTGTTATCTGGAAAATCAAAAATAGAAGATAGAGGGAGAGGGGCCCAAGCAGGTAGGGTGCTTGCCTTGCTGATCCAAATTTGATCCCTTGTACCTCATATGGTTCCCTGGGACTGCCAGGAGTTACCCCTGAGCACAGAGCCAGGTGTAAGCTATATCCCTCCTCCCCCAAAAATGACAATAATAGAAGGTAGAAAGAGAATGTTGAGGAGTTTAGGCCATGTCTCGGAGGAGTATGAGCTCTGGATCAGGTGGAGCAGGACATGAATATTGGCTCCACTATTACCAGCATTTTAAAGATTTTCTTTCCTCATTGGCTGTCACTGTCACTGTCCTCCCATTGTTCATCGATTTGCTCGAGTGGGCCCAGTAACACTGTGAGACTTGTTACTGTATTTGGCATATTGAATATGTCTCAGGTAGCTTACCAGGCTCTGTCTTGCGGGCGAGATACTCTCAGTAGCTTGCCCAGCTCTCTGAGAGGGACTGAGGAATCGAACTCAGGTTGGCCGTGTCAGCCGCGTGCAAGGCAAACGCCCTACCCGCTATGCTATCTCATAGGCTAAATGAAAACATTGAAATTATTTACCTTAATAGATTACTCTGAAGATGAAATCAGGTTATGTTTACAAAAACTGCAACTATTTCGGTCAGAGGATAATCTGCTGATAAATATTAACCCTGCAAGTATGAGGGAGGAGGGGTGCTGTGGATATACATTTAGGACTCCACATAGAAATTAACAGTAAGGTGGCTACTTTTTCACCCATGTAAGAGGATGGATGGCAAGATCTTGTTGGTAGGGGCAGAGGTGGTTGAAGAGTGGGAAGGAGGTGAGGAAATGAATGAAGGAACTTTATACCTAGTCAAAGCTTGAAACTTGGAAAGGGAGGCAGTGCATAAGGTGAAGAGCTACCCTGCTACCTTGGGACTGAGGAGATTCCTAGGGTATGTGACTCTCAATGACAAAACTGAAAAAGTCCTGGGAAAACTGGGATGAGTTTATCACCCATCCAGTCCACAGAACTGTGAGAAATGAAATCGGAAGTGGTAAAACACTGACCTTTCTTTTCTTTCCTGGTGCCCTTCAAACTCCTCCTCACAGTAATATTGGAGGTGTCACTTAGCAGTTTGACCCAATCCGAGATCAGAAGACAAGGGAGCTTATGTTTTGCACTTGGGAGAGATCAACTTTGCCTGGAAGCCCAGATGAGACAGAGACTAAAGATGGGAGCTCACAAGAAAAATAAGCAGGCACTGTGACAGAGCTGGAATCAGAATTGTCTGCGATTAATCTGACTGCAGAACTTGCTCGCTTTCTTCCCTTTTTCTCCTTTGTAGAGACAGAAGGTCCTCTAAGAGTGGGGTGGGTGGGCATTTTCTGCATCCTCCAATTTAAATGTTATAAAGGTTAACCAGGGGGTAGTCTTTGATATCTAAGCAGTCCATCAAATTTTTCTTTTTTTAAGGTTCAATAGTCTGAGTATCGTGTATAAAGGGCAGGTAGGGTCTAACTGCTCCCGGGGATGGAGTTATTGAAGAAAATCTCCTCAAAGGCTCAAGTACAGGACCTGTCAGGGAGTCCAGGATCGTCTTTCTCTCCCCTCACTTCCGGCCTTAATAGCTTACTCTTCAAATTGCTTCTGATGGAAATGCGTCACATTTTCTGGTTAAGAAAAGACCACGAGCCGCCGAGTAGTATCTTGCAAAGCCTGAGGAGCCGAAGCGGGACAGCGAGGGCGCTACCAATTCCCTCCAGGCTCGATCGACCAGAGGAGCCAAGACCCCCCCCACCCGAGCCAGATTACACTTGTGGCGCTGAGCCGCGGTGCCCCGTGATTGGCAGCGAGGAGGGCGTGGCAGCGTCTAGAACGCCTCCACCGGATTGGTGAGAATCGCCAGGGGCGGGGCCTCCGCTCCGGCTGGGCGCGAAAGCTCGAACGTCGCAGCCGGGCTGGGGACGGCGGGAGCGACTGCTCGGCGAACTGAAGGAGCCCGAGCGCAGCTTCGTCGGCGGGAGGGGAGCGCCGGGAAAGTTGAAGTTATGACGGGCGAGGTGGTTTCTGAGGTGAGTTCACGTCCGTCCCTTCAACCCCGGCTGCCCGGTGCCGGGATAAGGTGGTGGCGTGAGGGGGAGGGGAGCAGGTCGTGCCCCGCTGAGGAGCTCACTAGACCCGGGAACTACAGCCCCCGGCGTGCCCTGCGCTGGCCTGGCCTCGCCGCCGCCGGGTGGTCGAGCTTCTCGTCACGCACTCGCGACCCCCGGGAGCTCCGGACGCTGGACTGGTCGAGCTGCGGTGCCCTGGGTCTTGCCGCCTGGGTGTTTGCGGCGCGCGCAGCCGGCAGCCGGTCCCTCGTCAGCCCGCGCTCTCCTTTGGCGCGTTTCCTGCTCTGGCTCTCAGCGGTCCCCCAGAGCGGCCGGGCTGCGGGGCCGGGGTCTGTAAACCGGGAGGGAGGTCTTCGAGTGTTCTGGAGGGGCTTCTTCTGGCTCGTGGCAGGGTCGGAGAGAGGAAGGGACAGTCCTTCGGGGTCCCCTCACGGGAGGAATCGCGCATCCGAACGGCCGGTGGATCCAGACCTGTATTCTGGGGCCGGGCGGAGGGGGCGACCCACTTTGCGAGCAAAGTTCAGAGGGCCTCCAAAAAACGGTGATCACGGAAAAAATATTTTAAAATTATTTTGAAAATTAAAACGCAAAAAAATAACCCCAAAACTCCTATGGCTTCAGCGTGGACATATTGCCCAAATTTTATTTAAGCGGTAGAAACGTTTACTGAAAAGTAGAAGAGACCGGAGTAAAGTGGGTAGGTAGGGCGCTTTGCCTTATACTAGGTTGACCCGGCTTCGATGCCCGCCACTCCAGAGGGTACCACTACCCCCCCACCACCACCACTCCAGAGGGTCCTCGAGTTCTCCAGGTGTGATCCCTAAGAGTCGCGCGGGGCCTGGCCCACCCAAACAAAACAAAAAAGAAAAGAAGAAGAGAAACTCCTTGCAGGAGAGGAACTTAATTTAAATTAAGATTGGCTACCAACGCTGCATTTGCCTGTCTCCTGTTACCTCACCCTTATTCTAGCTTTGGTTCCAATAAGACTTTGTTTACAAAACCCAGGTGGCTGGCCTTCTGAGCCATAACTTGCTAATTTTTTTAAAATTATTTTATTAGGGGCTTGAGCGATAGCACAGTGGGTAGGGCGTTTGCCTTGCACGCAGCTGACCCGGGTTCGATTCCCAGCATCCCATATGGTTCCCTGAGCACCGCCAGGAGTAATTCCTGAGTGCATGAGCCAAGAGAAAGCCTTGTGCAGTGCTGGGTGTGACCCAAAAAGCAAAAAAATTAAAATCTCTTGAAGGCCAGAGAGATAATACAGCTGGTAAGCATTTGTCTTGCTTGCAGTTGACCTTGGTTCAATCCCTGGCACCACATATGGTTCCTCAAGAGCCACCAGGAGTGGTCCCTTAGCGCAGAACCACAAGTAAGCCCTGTGTACCGCCAGTTGTGCCCCGCAAACCAATCACCAATATTATATCATCTTGACAGTATTTTGAGACCCTGTCCTCTGCCTTTGGAGTCTTACCCGAGATCTGCTGCATACTGCCTAGCATTGTGTAGTTAAGATCTCCCTCTTGTTTTGAAGTGTGTAGTTGCCTTCAGTATCTTTATCCACAAACAACTGATGGTCTTACTGCTTTGGACTTTTGGGAGAATCATCAACTTGCCCCCTCAGTGACTCATGAGTACATGTTATCTTAGGCTATTATTGTTATTACTTTTTTGCTTTTTTGGGTCACACCTGGTGATGCACAGGGGTTACTCCTGGTTGATGCACTCAGGTATTACTCTTGGCGGTGCTTGGGGAACCATATTGGATGCTGGGAATTGAACCTGGGTTGGCCATGTGCAAGGCAAATGCCCTACCCCTTGTGCTATCATTCCAGCCCCTTAGACTAATATTTTGATAATTTATTTAATAATTGTTAGAGAAACTATTAGAGTGAGGCTTTTTTTAAAAAATTTTTTGCTTTTTTTGAGTCACACCTGGTGATACACAGGGGTTACTCCTGGCTCTGCACTCAGGAGTCACTCCTGGCGGTGCTCAGGGAATCATATGGGATGCTGGGAATCGGACCCGGGTCAGCCGTGTGCAAGCAAATGCCCTACCCACTGTGCTATCGCTCCAGCCCCAGAATGAGGCTTTTTTGTTGGGGATTGTGGGCAGTGCCATGCCAGATGTACTCGGGACTTATTCCTGGTTCTATGCTCAAGCTTATTCCTAACTCTGACTTGGAGATCACTCATGGCAGTGTGTGATTGGGGAACCATATGTGGTGCGGGGGATTGAACCAGAGTGGACTCAGTGGAAGGCAAGCTCCTTACCCACTATACTCTCTGGTCAAGTTTTGCGCCTTTTTACATCATAATTGTTAATATTTTCACTCTTGCTAATAAATTGCACCCTATTTGTAAGAACACAGATGGCAGGCAGCTAAGTATATAGGGTTAGCTTGAATCTTATTCAAGTCATGTAACATACTTCTCCTTAGATTTCTACTTTTTTGGTGCTGCAAATTGAACGTAGTACATGACTGTGTATGACGCATGTGCTTTCTTTTTCATCTACATCCACCGCCTTTGTGCATAGATTTTTTTTTTGTTTAACCTGACTTTTAAAATGCCTTTATTTGGAAATTTTTTAACATACAAATGTAGACTGATATAATAAACCCATCACCCAGGTCCAACAATTATCAAATCACAGGCTGAAGAGATAACTCAATGAACTGGATCACATGTTCTACATGTAGGAGGCCCAGTATCGATCTCCAGTACCACATGATCCCCGTCATAATCAGGAGCAAACCCCAAGCACTAAGCTTGGAGTAGCCCTGAGTACCTGGGTAAGACCCCCAAAGTAAAAACCAAACAAAATAATAAAATCTTGCTTGTATGTTTTTTTTTAAAATCTACATACCCACTCATTTTTCCCCCATTAGATTTTTTTGAATCAAATTCTAGACATTTCTTCCATAAACAATTACCTCTAAAAGATAGGAGCTTTCAAAAAAAGATAGCTTTGTTATATATATCATACCTAAAGAATTGAGAATTTTTGTTTAATATCAAATGCTTAGATAATGTTCATATGTCTTTGTCTTGTACATATATTTTCAGTTTGCTTGAATCCTGTTTCAGTTTGCTTGGATCAGGATTCAAAGTCTATATATTAGACTTGTTGATAGATGTCTGCATATAACTTAACTACCTTTTTTTAATAGGTCCCCTCTTTTTTTCTTGCAATTTATTAAGATGCCACATAGTTTATACTCTAGAGTTTTCTGTATCTGGATTACTCTCTTCACTATTATTTAATATGACACTTGGATACACTGAGAAACAGTTCATCTAGTTACCATTACTCAAAATAAGTAGTTGGTTCTGTAGCATATTTTTTGTTTTGTTTTGTTTATGTTTTGGAACCAGAACCGGCAGTGCTCAAGGCTTCCTCCTGGCTCTGCACTCAGGAATCACTCCTTCTGGTAGGGCTCAGTGAACCATATGTGATACCAAGGAATAAAACCCAGGTTGGCTGCATATAAGGCATGCGCCCTACCTGCTACATTATTACTCCGGCCATCTGTAGTATTTTTAAAAAAGTAGACTATTAAAAACTGTACTCAGGGCTTAACTCCAGGCTCTGTGCTCAGGGATCACTCCTGGTAGTGGATAGGAACCATTTGTGGTGCTGGGGATAGAACCTGGGTTGGCTGCATGCAAAGCAAGCACCTAACCTGCAATACTATGTCTTGGGTTCTATACACTCCTTTAAAGTGTAAATTTTTATTTTTCCTGTTTGTCCAGTAATTCTTTATGTCATCCTTTGTTGGGCCTTTATATTATGGTTCTTCTTTATTTCAGCCTGGTGATTATGTATCACTATTTATTCAAAGCTTTCTGTCGCCTACTGGTTAGTGAAAATTATATTCTACTTTCCTAGGTACACCTAGAAATCAACGATCCAAAACTTACTTCACAAGAAGCAAATAGTCTTTCTGACAGTGGACAGGAGAGCTGTGAAACAGTTGGACTCTTGAGTGAAAGAGGTATGTAATACTCAATGCTTTTATTTTTAGGAATAGAATGTAGGAGGTTAGATTGTAAGTGAATTGGACTGATTTTATTATTCTCTTGATGTATTAAATTATTAATGCCAGCTTTATTGTTTGCACCTTTTGAGAACCATTTCTATTATATTATTGAATCTATAAAATGTCTAGCAGCTACTACTTTGCCTGATAGAAAGCATTGATTCTATAATAAAGGTATTTTTAACACCTGTCAGAAGGATTAGAACAACTTTACACATTGTAAATATATATAATTACATTGCTCAGTAAGAGATAGTTTTCTTTGGAAAATGTTTTTCAAGAAGTATTTTTAGATTTGTTTTGCTGCAGTCAGTTCTTAGTGGTAGTTATATAATTTCACAAGGTAACGTATCACTTGGATAATGGGGTGTATTTTTGAGGAATAGTAGGACTAGAAGAAAGACCAAATGACAGTCTTTTAAAAAATTTTGTGTTCCTCCCAGATTCAGATGAAGAGATATGTGTGGGTAAGAAATCAAAAAGCAGGAAAGTGCTACAAGAGAGTGATTCTGAAGAAGAGGACATAAAGGCCTTTTCAAAGAGAACTACTTATGACAGTGTTGAGGAGGAAAATAAAGAGAATTTATATGCTGGAAAAAATGGAAACATCAGAAGGATTTACAAAACTCTGGGGAACAGTGATGAAAGTGACCTAGAGGAGTCTTTGGATAAGGAAAATCTTGAGATTCAAGTGACACCTTGCCTAGAGCTGGGTCTCCAATCTGAAAACATGGTGGACTTTACAGTTGACAGAAAGAGTGTAAGAAAACCCATACCTTATAAAGAAGGAACTGGAGGAAAAACAAAAGTAAAATCAAAAAGAAGACTTGAGAAAGAGGAGAAAAAGATGGAAAAAATTAGGCGGCTTAAAAAGAAGGAAACAAAAACTGAGGTACGTCTTAAAGAATAATTTTCTATTCCCAGGCCCCAGATGAACATTTTAGAAAAAGATGCATCTAGTTCTTTAGTTTTTTTTTTTTCTGTGCTCAGAATATAGCTTTGAGTTGATTGTTTTGTATTGCAAGTAATGGAATATGTGATGTAAAACTTGGCGGTCTCATTTTCCATTTCAGATACACAAATAAATGGGTTTATGATTTTCATTAATCACTTGAAGTAATTTTTGTGTTTCTCATCTGATGAAAATAGTCAGAGGTAAACTTTTCAGGCATTCATCAGTTAGAAGTTTTGTTTGTTACCTTGAAAAACCATACTTGGTATATTCTCCATCCCAGAAGTTGCCTACATCTCAGCTTACAATGGTGTAGTCTAGATTCTCTCCCTTCTGGAGAAGCTCATCTTTTCCTCTTTTTTGTTTTTGTTTTTTGAGTCAAAATGCAGAGGTGCCCAGACTTAGTACTGGCTCTGTACTCAGGGATTACTCCTGGCAGGCTCAGGGGACCATATGGGATGCCAGGGACCAAACCTGAGTTGGCTGCTTGCAAAGCAAGTTCCTTTCCCACTTGATTATTTCTCCAGTCTCCATCTTGTCTTGAGCACATATCACTCTCTCCACTCATATTTCTCTAGATAAAACTATTTTACTTAAAAAAAAAAAAAGAAAGCCAGGCTTAAGTTTATAAACCAATTGATTTATAATTTATAGGTAATTTTATTGTTCAAAAAAAAATTTACTGTTTTGGATAGTTGTGTAAAATTACAGTCTGGACCGTGTGTTAGAAACTAACAAGAGTGTCATCTACCACTGACTAATTAGATAAGGAATATTGCATTTTTTTAATGATTGAGTTTTGCTTTTTTCTTATTGCATTTGTACAGGAAGATGAAGTGGAAAAGTCATTTAATGACAGTGGCTGTCTTCTTGTGGATAATGATCTTTTTGAAACTGGGTTGGAAGAGGAAAATGACTCTCCACTGGATGACGAAGAGTCTTTAGAATCAATAAGGGCATCTGTGAAAAACAAAGTGAAAAAGCACAAGGCAAGTAGATACTAGTAGTTAGAACTAACCAACTGTTTCTAACCTTTAGTTTTTATTTTTATTTATTTTTGTTTTGTTTTGGGTCACACCCGGCAATGCCTAGCGCTCTGGCTTTGCACTCAGGAATTATTCCTGGTGGTGCTCAGAGGACCATGTGGAATGCTGGGGATAACACCTGGGAGGACCTCATACAAGGCAAATGCCCTACCACTGTTTTATTGCTCTGAGTCCTTTTTTAATTTGTTGTTCAAACCTTTTTTTTTTTTTAATCTGAAGAAAAAAAACAGTTATTTAGGTTTTTTATTTTATTTATTTATTTGTTTTTGCTTTTTGGGTTATACCGGCATTGCACAGGGGTTATTCCTGGCTCATGCACTCAGGAATTACTCTTGGCAGTGTTCGGGGGACCATATGGGATGCTGGGAATCGAACCCGGGTTGGCCGAGTGCAAGGCAAATGCCCTACCTGCTGTGCTATCGCTCCAGCCCAGGCTTTTTATTTTAAATTTTGCAGTCTTGCAATGTAAATGATAGATGCTCTCTTGTTTGGATACCAGCATTTTGACAGTCCTTATGGAAATGTTGGGAAAGAACAGAAAAGTAAGATATATTATCTTATTTAAGAAGCAGGTAAGTATTGGGGGAGATATGTATATTTTTAAATTCTACAGCCTCTGAGAAATGAGCCTATAGGGTCTCACAAAGGATATTAAAGAGAAGCATCAGTCAAAGCTTTATTGTTCTGATTGTTTGGAAACATAATTATTCTTCCTAAGAAGACATTGTCTCTGCTAATAAAAAGATATAATAGGGATTCAACCTTATTTGAAACACGTAGTTTGTTTTCTATGCATTGTAGAATACATTTTTTAAAAATAATTGTTGATTTATTATTAGTACAGTCTGGTACTATGAAAATAATCTTTTGGGAGGGAGAGTAAAAAAAAAGTAATTGTGTGTGTGTGTGTGTGTGTGTGTGTGTGTGTGTGTGTTTTGTCTGGAATTTCATCTCAGAGCCTCTTACACATGAGAATTACTTGCTGTTACATACACACTGAGATATATCCCCAGCTTCAAAAAGTGGCCATGCATGCATGCATATATGTGTTAGGGAGGACATTCTTAGGAGACCACTTCTATTGTGGTGCTCAGGCATTGAATCCAGGATTCCTGCATGTATGCTCTGCAACCCTTTGAGCCATTCCCCCAGGTCCAAAAACAATTGTTTAGTATGCAACATCCTCTTGGTTCATTTGTTGGTTGATTTGGTTTTGAGGCTAGCGTAGAAGTTACTCCTTGCTCAGTGCTTAGAGGTCACTCCTGACAGTGCTGGTGATCATATGGTGACAGGGATTGTACTAGGTCCTCTCATATTAAAAGCATGTGCTCCAGTCCAATGAGTTATCTCTCCAGTCCTTCAGTTTAATCTTTTTGTTATTTGTTTTTTGTTTTTGGGCCATGCCCAGTGATGCTTAGGAATTACTCCTGGCTCTGCACTCAGGAATTACTCTTGGCAATACTCGGGGGACCATATGGGATGCTGGGTTTCTAATCCAGGTCGGCCGCGTGCAAGGCAAACACCCTGCCCACTGTACAATCTCTCCAGCTCCCTTAGTTTAATTTTTGTTCATACTAATATCTTAGTTTTTCTTTCAGGAAAAGAAACTGTCTTTGGAAAATGGCATCAGTTCCTTTGAGGAAGAAAATGAATTATCAAAAGGCATCATTAGGAAGGTGAGGCAGAGTCTGATGTAGTCATGTTGATCTCTTTTCAACTCTTGAGATCGTAGATTTCTTAGAAATGTTTTATTGCGCTTTTTATATTTTCCTGGTTCCTAAGATACTACTTTGTACATAATAGCAATACAAATACAAATTCATTTAACTCTTTGTGCCTTGCAAATGTAATTGTGTAGGTTTTTATTGTGCATTAATGCTTACTATACCTTTTCCATCTTTTTTCAAAAAGAGAAAACTCTTAAAATATGTATATATTTTCTTTTTGGATAATAATTAATCTCACCTTTTGTTTTATGTAAGGAAAGGAAGGCAGCCAAATTAAGTAAGGAAGCATTAAAAAAACTGCACAGTGAAACTCAGCGCCTTATTCGAGGTAAAGCAAACCAGAATACTAAATTAGATTATCTTGTAAGTTTAACTTGGAAGTTGGAAAATTTGTAGTGTTTTTTTGGTTATTATTTGGTTTGGGGGTCATACCCAGTGGCACTCAGGGCCTGTTCCTGGCTTTGTGCTCAGGGATTTCTTCCATCAATTCTATAGGGATCATGCGGTTCAAGGATCAAACACTGTCCTCTGACTTACAAAGAATGTGAACTAGCCCATTGAGCTATCTCCCTATCTCCCAAATTTTGTTTTTTAACATTTCTAATATGAATGGATTATAATATCAGGTTTATCCTAGTGAGTGGCTATTCCAATATCCCTTATGGTCCCCCGAACACCCGCCAGCAGTAATTACTGAGTGCATGAGCCAGGAATAACCCCTGAGCATCACCGGGTGTGATCCAAAAAGCAAAACAAACAAACAAGAAAAAAAGAATGGCCATTCTAAAGCTCTTGGAACATTCTGTTTTTGTTGTTATTTGTTTTGGGGTCACATTCAGCTTTTGTTGTTCGTTTTGGAGTCACATTCAGTGTTGCTCAGTGCTTACTTCTGGCTCTGTGGTCAGGGATCTCTCTTGGCAGTGCTCAGGGGGCCATGTGGTGTATCAGGGATTGAACCTGGGTTGGTCAGCTGCCTACAAGGCAAGTGCCCTAGCAACTGTACTATTTTTTCTGGCCCCAGGAATATTCTTATAAAAAGAAAATTTCCAGAATTATAGTGGCAGTGGGAGGAAGTTGGGTTTTTTTTTGTTGTTGTTTTTCTTTTTTTGTGGTGCTGGGTATTGGACCCAGGGTAAATATTCTACTGCTGAGCTTTCCTCAGCACTGAAGGGAGTTTTCTTCCTACCTGCTGTATGTACCACATCTCCATGTCTCTTTTATTTTGTTGCTGTTGTTGTTGGAAGATATATCCAGCCATGCTTAGAGCTATTTCCTGGCTCTGTGCTCAGGGATCAGTCCCTGGTGTGGCTCCAGAGATTCGGGGTCTCAGGGATCAAAACCAGGATTGCAAGGCAAGCACCCTGTCTACAGGGTGCAAATCCGGATTGCAAATCAAGACCCTGGAGAGAGTTTTCTTAGTGGTTGTCTGCGGACCAGCTTTATTAGGATGCCTTTGGGAATTTTTCAAATATATAAATTGTAAGCTCCACAGAAGTTCTGATTCAATAAACTTAAAATGTGGTTCTGAATTTATTTTTTTTTAAATCTCTGGGAACTGGAGAGATTGTACGGTGGATAGGATGCCTGCATTGCATGCAGCCAGTCTGGTTTTGATCCCCTGCATCCCGTGCACCACCAGGAATAATTCCTGAGTGCAGAGACAAGAGTAACCCCTGAGCATTGCCAGGTATGGCCCAAGATACAAACATTTAAAAATTTAAAATAATAAGATAAATAAAGCCACTGTCTTCATAGAATTATAACTTGAATTATACATGAAATGATACTTATATTACCAGCAAGATAGTTTTTATTTTTGGTGCTAACTTTGTACTATTTGTTGAATATAAAGTGACTTCAGAATATACAATATATGTATTTGTTTTATTTCATTTTATAGAGTCTGCACTTAATCTTCCATATCATATGCCGGAGAATAAAACCATTCATGATTTTTTCAAACGTAAACCCCGACCCACTTGTCCTGGAAGTGCCATGACATTATTGAAGTAAGAACATCTTTCTTTATGGTTATGTATTTTCATAAATATTCAGTTTTGCAGCAGACATCTGGTATTAAAAAGTTCATATTTCTGACTTCTAAAACTTTTAAAATTGGTTTTATGATGTGTTGAGGGATGAGAATACTTCATGCTTAGGTACACTTTTCAACTCTAGCTCATTTTCCTTTCCTAGGTCATCTAAATATCAAAAAGTCATAGACTCAGCAAACTCATCGGGAGTGAGTTGTGATCATCATAGCAAAGACTCTGAGCAGACAACAAGTGCAGGATGTGAAATGGAGATTAATACAGCCCCTTCAGTTTCAAAGGAAAGCCAGCTCATTACTGAATCAGCTGAGTCCTGCAGTAAGGATTTGATGGGAAGTGAGGAGCTAGTCATTCAGGAGAAACAGAAGCAGAGTGATGCTGCACTTCTATCTGGGGACTGCTCAGCAGGGCAACAGGAACTCACTTTCGTTAGAAACCAGGACAGTGAGGTGTATCAGGCTGGAGGGCTTTCAGCACCTGAACCTCATGCCCCTGAAGGAGAAGAAATACTGAAAAAAACAGAAGAGGTGGATAACCCTAGGCAGCAGATTAAATCAGCTGCAGGAGTGCCACCTGAAAAAATGAGACGGTTTACACTGGATAGACTCAAGCAATTGGGAGTAGACGTTTCCATTAAACCTCGGCTGGGTGCCAGCGAAGATTCTTTTGTGATACTTGAAGAACCTGAAACCAACAGAGGTAATCTTTTGAATTGTGGGGAATCTCTCCAGAATGACTTATTTTGACAGCTTTTGATTATTTGGGACTGTGAAGAACAGGAAGCACAAAATAATCACAACAGGACTTTATTCTATAGGTATCTAGGAATGAGTAGAATCCCATTAGACAAATTTGGCAGGGTTGCTGAATGATCTATTCCCCGTTTGTTTAAGTTTATTGAAGCCACACCTGGCAGTGTTTGGGGCTATTGCTACTTGTAGCTTTGTGCTGAGGTGGGGAAGAGGGTAGTGTACTGCCCCCTTCAGTCCTCTAGGAACTTTATGATGTGATTGGGCCTCCTGCATGCAGAGCATCTGCTCAGCCCTTGAGCTATTCCTGTGGCCATCTAATTAATCCCTGTTTAAAATGGAAGTGTAGGGTCTGGAAATAATACAGGTGGTATGATGTTTGCCTTCCATGAGTCCTACCTGGGTTCTATCCCTGGCATCCCATACGATCCACTGAGCATCACCAGAAGTAATTCCTGGGTACAGAGCTAGGAATGACCCCTAAACACTGCTGAGTATGTCTCAAAAATCAACGGAATAAACAAACAAAATAATTGGACTCTTAGTGGAGAAATAAAACAGAGTTTAAGCTCTTGTCTTGCCTGTTGCCCTACCCAGCACGCCATCTGGCCTCTGTAAGCCCTTCCAGAAATAAACCTTAAGCACAGGGTATGACCCCAAAACAGAAGTTTTAGTTAAAATGGAAGCCTAGAACTAGGGAGATGGCTTAAAGGGCTGGAACACATGCAAGAACCCTGAGAGCGTTGGCTCCCCCAAGCAAGCTAGGAACAGCAAAAAAATCCCCCTAATCATAAGTAAGTGAAATTTACATTTTTTTTAGATGAAATTTACTTAGGAAGCTATTGGTATATAATACATAGAAGAGGTACTTTTATATTGTGTTATAATACTGAGGAACTTGTCTCTGTCTTTCCAGCCTGAAATTCTAGACCCTCTCCTGGTAATGTTCAGTGTAGTATAAGCCTTACAATTTGGTGCTTGGGCTGATGGTACTAGTGGGTCACCAGCACTACCCCACCAATGCTGCAGGGTGGGAGGCATGCGTTGCTAGTGACTGAACTCAGGACCTTGTACATTATGCATGTGCTCTACCACTTGATCTATCTTCCAGACCTTATCTAATATTTTTACTAAAAGAAGTGCATGTAGGGCCCTGAGTGATGTACAGCAGATAGGGAACTTGCTTTGCATGAGGCCAACTTGGATTTGATCCCTGACACCTCATATGGTCCCAGCAGTATCAGGAGTAATCCTTGAGTACTACTGGATGTGGCCCCCAAATGAACAAAAATATATATTTAGAAACATTTAAGTCCCTCCCCTAAAATGATTTTTCAAAGGGTAAGTGGGAATCCCAGTGCTCAGACTTCACAACAGGGCCACTTCTGGGAATTTGACAAACTGTGTGGGTGGTTCAATGCTCAATTATGCTGGGGCCATCAGGGCAATACCAGGAGTATTTAGTGGCCCATGAGGTGCTAGTACTCAAGCTTGAGTCCTTATGCATGCAAGGCCTATGCTCCTGACCACTAAGCTATCTCTGTAGATCCTCTAAAATAATTTTTGTATATGAAAAAAGGACAGTTGGAACATTCCTTAGTTGGTGTTTGGGTTGAATTGTAGAAGTATATACTAGTGACAAAGGAATTTTTGGTGTCTATGTGGCTTTTTTCCTTCAACCTTTGTTGAACTAAGAAACTTAGTTTCTAATTCCTGTTAGGAATCTTAAGGAAAGAACCTGCATATGATAGACTCATGATTGGTATTTGGGTTTAGAATTGGAAGCCTTAAAGCAGCGTTTCTGGAAGCATGCTAATCCTGCAGCCAAACCCAGGACTCGTCAGAAACTGAATGTGAACATCATAGTGAAAGATACAGGCACTAATGGAAAGGAAGAGCTAAAGACCGATGTGGTACCTGTAACTTTGGCAGCTGAAAAACTGGATGAAACAGGCCACACAAAACCAGGTATGTCCATCCATCTTTTTTTGACTTTACACTTTGTGGTTAGAGATATTTATGGCTATTGAAATACTGTTGTGAACAGTTATAAAATTCTTTTCTTTGGAGACTTTAGAGATGGAATATCTGTACCTCTCCCATGATTCATGTGTATGTAACATTGCCTAAAGTTATGGCATGGTAGAACTGAGTGGTAACACAGCGGTAGAGCATTTGCCTTGCGCACAGTCGGCCCTGCCGAGCCGGGTTCAATTCTTCCGCCCCTCTCGGAGAGCCCGACAAGCTACTGAGAGTATCTTGCCCACACGGCAAAGCCTGGCAAGCTACCCGTGACGTATTCAATATGCCAAACACAGTAACAACAAGTCTCAAAATGGAGATGTTACTGGGCCTGCTCGAGCAAATCGATGAACAACGGGAGGACAGTGCTATGGCATGGTAAGGTGACTTTTTTTTTATGTAGGAGATTCAGCCATTGATTAGGCTGATTGAATTGGGCATGAACTCCACCTTACTTTTTTTTCCCCTTTTTTATAATTTTATTTATTGAATCACCGTGAGAGTGATTCAATAAATAATAATTTACAAAGCTTTTGGATTTAAGTCTCGGTCATACAATGAAACACCCATCCCTTCACCAGTGCACATTTTTCACCACCAAAAACCCCAGTATACCCCCATCCCACACTCTCCCCTTACCTGTGGGGCAGATAATTTCCACGTTACTCTCTCTCTACTTTGATTACATTCAATATTTTGACATCAGACCCACCATTGTTATTTGAGATTTTATCCCAATACTCATGTGCCGAAAAGGCAACTGTAGACAGTTTGTTTTCTATTTCTGGTTATGAATAACATATGATGTCACGCAGCTAGAGTAGTGGCTGCGCAATTTTGGAATTCCGAAATTTTAACAATTAAATCTGGAGGGATTTCTGGCAAAACTTGCTGGGTTCTGAGATTTGTTCCTGAGTCTCTTGGATCATGGCCATTAAGCAGCTTGATCGGGCGCCAGAGAGGCCGTTTGTGGGCAGCGACTGGGAGTCTCGTTGGGGCGGGGGAGAAAGGGCCGGCTCTACCCCCATCCCGTGAGGCCCCGTGTGTCTCGTCAATGCAGGCCCAAATCTCACAGTCCAATGGCCTCTGGAGGATGGCGGCCACAAAGCCTCCAAGGGGGAATAGGCGGAGGGACAGCACCCTTTCCCCCCTGGGGTGGCCGGATGACAGTAACTTACTGCGAGGTCCGGATGCATTCCTGCCAAAAGCCGCTGGGTTTCGAGATTTGTTTCTGAGTCTCTGGGATCATGGCTGTTAAGCAGCTTGATCAGGAGGAAGAGAGGCCGTTCGTGGGCAGTGACTCGGGGTCTCATTGGAGTGGGAAGGAAAGGGCCAGCTGTACCCCCCCATCCCGTGAGGCTCCGCTTGTCTCATTACTGCGGGCCCAAACCTGACTGTCCAATGGCCTCTGGAGGATGGCGGTCATCGAGCTGCCAGGGGGAACAGGCCAAGGCATGAAACCTCTTCACACTTGGGGTGGCCTGGCGCTGATAACCTACTGCAGGGACCGGATGCATTCCTGCCAAAAGCTGCTGGGTTCTGAGATTTGTTTCTGAGTCTCTTGGATCATGGACATTAAGCAGCTTAATCAGGAGCCAGAGAGGCCGTTTGTGGGCGGTGACTCAGGGTCTTGTTGGGGTGGGGAGGAAAGGGCCGGCTCCACCCCCAGCCCATGGGGCCCCATGTGTCTCGTCACTGTGGGCCCAAATCTGACTGTCCAATGGTCTCTGGAAGATGGCGACCACTGAGCTGCCAAGGGGGGGCAGGTGGAGGGACAGCACCCTTTTCCCTCTGGGGTGGTCCGGTGCCAGTAACCCATTGTGGGGACTGGATGCATCTCTGCCAAAAGCCACTGGGTTCCGAGATTTGTCTCTGAGTTTCTGGGATCATGGCCATTAAGCAGTTCAATCAGGAACCAGAGAGGCCTTGCCTCCAATTATATAGCTGAGCCAGAAGTTGTTTGTGATTGTGTCTCCCACATACCTAACTTTTGGCCGTTTACTTTCTTGGTAAACCTTTCTCCAAGTTCTTGGGGTCTGGCCAAAGGCACAGCAGCAATTTTGGGGTATCTGAAAGTCTGAAGGCACCATCAGGCTGCTGATGTACTCGCCTCACAGGTACAGGTTGACCTGCTGGCGGCACCATACCCCCAAGGTGACTATATTTTTAAATAGCTTGTCTTCCAAAAAACAATAATTACCCACAGTAGAAATTATAGATGATATGTATCTTTACATTATATTGGGTTTTTTTTTTTTTTGGTTGGCTGTCTTTAGGTTTTTGTTTTGTTTTGCGGCCACATGGGTGTTGCTCGGGGTTTACTCCTGGCTTTGCGCTCGGAAATCACTCTGGCAGTGCTTGGGGGACCATATGGGATGCTGGGGATTAAACCTGGTCAGCCACAAGAGTTTTACTTGCTGTACTATCTCTCCAGCCCCTACATTTTAGAAACAAGTTATACAACCTTCTATCAGAGACAATAGACAATATCTATAACTATATTGATTATCTGTTCTTTAAAAACTCTTAGTATGCATTTATAAACATATTAAATAATGCCACATCTGAACTTTTATAGTTCAGGGGGGAGATGGTACAGTTATAGACTTACACTGTTTCTTTTGAGGTGCAGAAGCTTCTTAGTTTAATACTTAGTCAGTACGAGGAATTAAACTCTGCCTCACACCTGTGACGCAAGTATTCTTCTCCTGAGCCACATGCCTAGCCCCTAATTTTTTTTTTATTAGTGAAGCACCATGAGGTACAGTTATAGACTTACAAATTTTTGTGCTTGGGTTTCAGTTATACAATGATCAAGTACCCATCCCTCCACCATCGCCCATCCTCCACCAGCACGGGTCCCAGCATCCCTCCCACCCCTCTTCTCCCCCATCTCACCCTGCCTCTGTGGCAGGGCATTCCCTTTTGTTCTCTCTCTCTTTCCTTTTGGGTCCTGTGGTTTGCAAGAGAGGCATTGAGTGGCAATCATGTTTGGTCTATAGTCTACTTTCAGCATGCTTCTCCCACCCTGAGAGGATCCTCCCAGCACCCTTTATTTGACGCTCTCTTTTCCCCTAGCATGTGTGGCTCTCCTCCAAGTCATGGAGCAAAATTCCTGGTACTAATCTTGACCACTCCTGGGTGTTAGTCTCCCATTTTGTTGCTTTATGTTCCCCAGATGAATGCAATCTTTCTGTGTCTATCCCGCTCTTTCTGACTCATTTCGCTTAACATGATACTTTCCATGTAGTACCACTTGTATGTGAATTTCATGACTTCATCTATTCTAACAGCTACATAGTACTCCATTATGTAAATGTACCAAAGTTTCTTTAACCAGTCATCTGTTCTCGGGCACTCAGGTTTTTCCAGATTCTGGCTATTATAAAGTGCTGCAATGAACAAACAAGTGCAGATGTCACTTTGACTATACCTTTTTGCCTCTCTGGGATATATTCCCGGGAGTGGTATTCCTGGGTCAAACGGGAGATCAAATTCTAATTTTTTGAGAATCGTCCATACTGTTTTCCAAAAGGGTTGGACCAGTCGGCATTCCCATCAGCAATGAAGGAGGGTCCTTTTCTTTTCTTTTTTTTTTTTTTTTTTATTTATTGAATCACCATGGGAAAGGTTACAAAGCTTTCAGGTTTAGGTCTCAGTCATGCAAATATCAAGCACATTTCCCTTTACCAAAACTTATTTTTTACCATGAAGAACCCCAATAAAACCCCACCCCCACCCCTCCCAGTCCCTGTGGGGCAGATGAATTCTAGTTAACACTCTATCTGCTTTGATTAGATTCATTGTTTCAATAAAAGATTCACCACTATTATTTAGAGTTTACCCCCCCCCCCCGAATCAGACATGCTGACAAAGCATTGTGAAGTGATTTGCTTTCTACAGCTGGGTTCAAGAATTATATGTTGGTTTTGGATTTCTGCTATTTTACTTATTGACCCTGGAAGTATTTCTACTGAAAGTCAGATAGTTAAGAAATTGGTTTCTGTGTTCTGGAGTCGTGGCCGTGCTGGAGAGCCGCTAGTGGGGGGCAACTGGTGGCCTCGGTAGGGCGTGAAGGGCAGACCGAAACGCCCCCCTTCCCATGAGGTTTTAGTCGCCCCCAGTCCCCCAGCTCATACCTGCTGTCCACAAGGCTCCCATGCGGCAGCCATCTTTCTTTCCAGAGAGGAGAAGGCGACTGGGGCAACACCCTTTCCCCGCCCTGGACAGACCTGATGGCCTGGATTAACGCATAGTCCGTTCACTTTTCTGCTCCAAGCTGCCGGGTTCTGCATTAAGTCCTTGTGCTTCTGGGGCCGTGGCCGTGCTGGAGAGCTGCTCACGGGGGGCAACTGGTGACCTCGGTAGGGCGTGAAGGACGGACCGGAACGCCCCCCTTCAAGGAGGGTCCTTTTCTCGCCACATTCGTGCCAGCATCGGTTGCTTTTGTTTTTTTGGATGTGTGCCAGTCTCTGTGGTGTGAAATGATATCTCATTGTTGTTTTGATCTGCATCTCCCTGATGATTAGTGATGTAGAGCATTTTCTCATGTGCCTTATAGCCATTCGGATTTCTTCTTTGCGAAAGTTTCTGTTCATTTCCTCGCCCCATTTTTTGATGGGGTTGGGTGTTTTCTTCTTGTGAAGTTCAACCAGTACCTTGTATATCCTTGATATCAACCCCTTGTCAAATGTGTATTTGGCGAATATCCTTTTCCATTCTGTAGACTGTATTTTGGTCACTGTTTCTTTTGAGGTACAGAAGCTTCTTAGTTTAAGATAGTCCCATTTGTCTATCTCTGTTTTCACTTGCTTCGCCAGTGGCATGACATCTTTGAAGATACCATTAGCTTCAATATCACGGAGGATTTTGCCAACTTTGTTTTCAGTGAACTTTATGGATTCCGGTCTGATGTTGAGGTCATAAATTCATTTTGATCTTAGCCC